ATTCTCTGTCTCCTTCTCAGACCATGCATATTGATTTTTAGTTTGGAAACTTTGTTCATTCTTCCGATATTGAAAACACAGTTGTTTGGGATCATTTCATTTTAGATAGAAGAAACTCATTTGAGACCATTTGCTTTAAAGAAGGAAGACAACATGTTGCAACAAATATTTTAATTGTGTTTTTATATACCAGAGATACTTGAGACAAGGAAATTCTCACTATGTGGGATTTTCGTTCTATACTTTTGTTCACAAAGACAACCAATGAACAAGGAACATGGTGCAATAAAAACAGATGATGTCTAAGAGAGACAGGATGGAATATGTTTCTTTCTTTCAGTGACCAGCACTGCCTCTCCAATGGAGACTGAAGCTGTAAAAAAGATGTGTAAGTTAAGAGATTTTAAGAAGTAGTCTTGACTCTCCATAATATATAATATTCCAATATTTATTGGAAGATTTTTATTCATGGGCAGCTATTAACTAGTGGACGTCACTTTGGGGTGAGCAGAGAGAATTAGTCATTTTATTGGAAGACTTCCAGGTTTCAATATCTATAGGGTTTTTTCCATTGGGTTGGTAAGTTGTTCCATACAGGAACCTTCTTTCCCAGGAAGAGTGTATTTGTCTGCCAGTATTCTAGGAGCCAAGTGAAAAAGGCATCTGAGTGGGGAGGGTACTTACGGTTTAGTATTAGGACTTTCACTTACTCCCTCATTTCTCTCTCTGCTGTCATCTGCTCTTCCAGTCTCCCTGTTTCGTTTCTTCTCTAATTCATGTAGATGGAATCAGATAGCATGTACTGTTTTATGTCTTCTTTTTTTCCTTAAACTTTTCTTTGAGATTCATCTATGTTGTTTTGTGTATCAGTCCATTTCTTTTCATTGCTGAGTAATTCTATTAAACGCATATACTGCTAAAGGACATTTGAGTTGTTTCCAGTTTGGGATATTGTGAATGGAATTCTATAAACATTCTTGAACAAGTACTTTAGTGGATATTTGTTTTTATTTTTCTTGGGAAAACAGTGAGGAATACAATTTCTTGGTCATACAGTAAGAGTTCTGATTGCTCCACATTCTGACCAATATGAGTTATTGTGAGACTTTTTGATTTTAGCTATTCTTGAGAGTTCAAAGTGGTACTGCATTATGATTTTAATTTGCATTTCCCTGATGACTAATAGTGGTTAGCATCTTTTCATGTACTATTGACTGTTCATTTATCTTCTTGTTTGAAATATCTGTTCAAGCTTTACATCCATTTTAATTGGGTAGTTTTTCTCTTTGTTATTGATTCATATTTTTGATTTATAGGAATTCTTTATGAAATGACCCCTTTATTATAATGAAATGTCCTTTTTTACTTGGGGCTGTACTCCTTATCATGGAGTCTAATTTGTCTGATATTATTATAGTCACTCCTGGTTTCTTATACTTGCCATATACTTGATGTATCTTCTTTCATACCTTTGATTTAAATTTATCTATGTATGTGTATTTAAAGTTCATCTCTTGAGCCTAGAGGCAATGATCACCTTGAAGCCAGATCTTGGTATCTAAATACCATTCTCCAGTAAAATTTATCAGGGTTCTTTGGAGAAATGACTGATTGTAGGGCAGGGATAGGGAAAACATAAGCTGAACTTGGAACATCTTGTGGCACCAGAAAGTAAAGAAGTGCTCGGAAAATAATGAGGACATATCAAAAATATACAAGGAATAGCTGGAAGTGACTCCCAATGACCAGACCTGGGACAATTTAAATAACAAAGTAAGTGACAGGAATGGATTATATCTCATAAGATAAATTTCAGTGTGTCCGTGCTAATATAAATAAGTAATTGACTATATAAATGGGGGGAAGGGGAAAGTTCTTTATTTCCGCAGAACTCAAATTAATTAATGTAAAAGGAATGATGGAAATGGTAGAAATAGAAAGTCACCATTTGGCAAGCACCACAGTAATAATTGTTACAGGCAAGAATCATCAATGAATGCTAAAGTTTATGGGCAAAAGTGTGATAAGAAATGGGATGTTTACACAGCCTTGAAGTATTTTCCCACCAGATACTATTAATTACAAGGAGGAAAATATTAAGAAGAGAAACGTGGCAGACAGCACCTTAACCAGATGGTCATAGTTAATATCATCAGTAATGGGACAAGTTGGCATCATATGCCTCCTGATATGATGCACTGAGGGCACAAACATCACTTTTTTTTGTTTTTGGAGATAGGGTCTCACTCCGTCACCCAGGCTGGAATGCAAAGGCACGATCCTAGCTCACTGCAGCCTCATACTCCTGGGCTCAAACAATCCTCCTGCCTCAGCCTCCTAAGTAGCTAGGGCTACAGGCCTGTGCCATCTTGCCCAGTCACAATCATCACTTTTATGATATTCTTGCCAAAAAATGCATAATCTAAATTCAACCATGAACAAATATTAGACAAACCCCTATTGAGGGATGTTCTATAGCCAGTACTCTTCAGAAATGTGCAGATTATGAAAAACAAAGAAAGACTAAGGTACTTTCTATATTAAAAGAAACTAAGGAGACAGGACAATTAAATGCAACGTGTGATTCTGAATTGGATCCTGGACTAAAATTAGTGGGACAATTGGTAAAATGTGAGTAAGGTCTGTATATTATTTAATAGTATTTCTGGTTTTGATCATTATACTATGGACATGTAAGATATTAACATGTGGGGTAGCTAGGTGAGAAGTATATGAGAATTCTTAGCATGATTTTTGTAATTTTTTATAAATATGAAATCATTTTAAAATGAAAAGTGAGAAAATGAAAAAAGATTTAATAAAAATATTTTTAGATAATAATAATGATAGGTGTCTTTTGTAAGCAACATATAGTTAGGTCATGCATCTTTATTCAGTTTGACAGTCTCCATCTTTAACTGGAATATTTAGTTGTCATAATTTATCTGGTTGGGTTTAGTTCTTAAAAAGTGGGATTTATTTCTGTTCGTCTTGTTCTTTGTGTCTCTGTTTCTCTTTTCCTGCCTTATTTTGGATTAGTTAACGATTTTGTGATATTTCATTTTAATTCTTCCCTTGGCTTTTTAGCTCTGACATCAATTAATGATTAACATATATCAGTCATAGCACTTCATATGAAATGTAAGAGTCTTACAACAATATAGATTCATTTACTCCACCTGTCTTTTGTGCATGTTGTCATTTGTATTATATCACATATGTTATAAAACCATAATGTAGGGATATAATTTCTGTAAATAACAATTTGTTGTTTCAGTGTCTGAGAAGGTGTTTTGTAAAAAAAAAAAAAAATTTACCCACCCATTTACCATTTTTGATGCTCCTCCTTCCTCCCTTTAGATCTGAATTTCCATCTGGTACCACTTATCCTCAGCCTATTGAATAACTTCCTCTAGCATATCTTGTAATGCCAGCAATTTGTCTGCTGATAACAAATTATCTTAACTTCATTTATCCAAAATTCTCTTTATTTTCCTTTCCTTTTTGATGGATATTTTTGCTAGATACAGAATTTTAGGTAATTTTTTCTTTCAGCACTTAATAGACATTATTCAGTTGTCTTCTGGCTTCCATTGTTTTTGACGAGAAGTCAGCCATCCATTTGTTCCTTTGTGTGTAATGTGTGGTTTCATCTGCTGCTTTCATGATTTTCTCTTTGTCTTTTGTTGTCGGCATTTAATAATGTGTCTACCCATGTTTTCTTTATATTTATCCTGCTTCAGTTCATTGACTTAGTTTAAGCTTGTGTTTTTCCAAATGTGGAAAAATGTTGGCTGTTTTTATTTTTCTGCCCTATCACCCCCCTTTCTGGGACTCCAGTTACATGTATATGAGACTGCTCAAAATTTTTCTCCAAGTCTTCTTTATTTTTCATATAGGACAAATTCTGTTGATGTATCGTCAAGTTCATGAAACTTTTCTCCAGTCATCTTCAAGCACATATTAAACCCATCCACTGATTTTTATTTCATATATTATCATTTTTTAGCTCTAAAATGTACATTTGATTTATTTTTATAGTTTCCATTTCACTGCTGAGATTCTTCATCTGTTCGTTCATGACGACCTAATTTTTCTTTTAAGTCCTTGAATATCTTTATAATAGCTGTTTTCATTTCTCTGCTTATTTCAAGATCTGGGTCATCTCGTAGTTGGTTTCTATTAATTACTTTTTCTCTTGCTACTGGGTCATATTTTCCTATTTATTTGCATGTCTAATAATTTTCCATTGTATATTGGACAATGTACATAGTACATAACAGAGACGATGAATTTTGTTATCTTTCCCTGAAGAGTGTTGATTTGTTTTCGAATAATTTAGCTGAACTCCAAATTCTATCTTCCACCTTGGTGAACATCAACTGAACGGTATACTTAATCCTTTCAGCCTTCCAGCAGTTGTCTTTCACTTGTGCAACTGAGGGTTAAACTAGGGATTTGGGTAGAGTTTCCATATAGATTTGGAGGGACCCTTATGGCTTCTTCCTTTGTGGGTTTTTTCTCCTCACTGGCCAGAAAGGCTGTTATCCCCAAACTAGGTCTTCTGACTCCCCAAGCCAGTGATATTGCAGATTTCTGCTTAAGTTCTAAACGCTCCACACCATATGGACTGTGGATGACTGCCAGGGGAAAAGATATATACTGACTCCTACTCGGCGCAATCTCTTTTTGCAAGGATTGACTTCCCTCCATTTTCTGCTTGGTTTTGGTCACTCTATTGTGCTTTCAAAATAGTTGTTTTTATATTTTGTCAGAGTATATAATTATTATCTGAAGGATTAATCTGATATATGCTAATCTGCCATTACCAGAAACTGTACCATATTACTTTTTTATTTTCCATTGATTTTTCCATTGATGCTGCATAGGATTAAACAAAAAGCTTACATATTTTTTGTGAATGATGGCACTGTCTCATCAAAATCTTCTAAAGGAATTGAACATATTACTAATTTTCTTTTTTCTTCTTTCTTTTATAGACAAGAGATGATTTCCTCGGTCAAGTAGATGTTCCACTTTATCCATTACCGGTTAGTAAAGGTGTCCATGATTTTGCTTTTTGTGTTTATTCTTTTTAATTTAATAAATATTTACATATACACAATATAGTTAATATAAATATTCAATTTATTAAATATATGCTGCTTTTATTTCTCAAGCATATTATTTTCTAAAAACTCATCTCAGTTTTCCATTTCAGTTTGCTCTTTAAGATTTCCTTACATGAACCCCAGTGAGAAATAGCCACTGAAATTTGTTGGCATTATGAAAGCATTGTGCAAGGAAGATCACTTGGGAAATCTTCTGCTGAATAACCAGAGTGTGGCTAGCCTAGGCTCACAGAAGGAAACTGAGATAGTTTACAATGATGTAAACAGAAAACACTGAGAATCTGGACTACGCGTGTAGCAATGGAGGAAAATAGATTCAGGAAACATTTCAGAATAAAACATTATTGGATCAAGTGTCTGACATGGAGGTTGAAAAAATAAACAAAAAATAAAGATGATACAAGTTAAACTTAGAAGATAAGGGTGGCATCTCATGTCGAAAAGGGAGGAGGAAAGATGTTTTGAAATATAGGAAATTTATTTTTGGACATACTGAATTTCAGTAGAAAATAGGAAAAATGAAGGTTTAAAGTGGACAGGTGACAGGGACATAAAAATGAATTATGTAGGGAAAAGGGACTAGAACGACTGAGGGTCATCACTGTCCAGGTAACAGCAGAATCTCTGACAATCTCTCCTCTCTCCAGATAAGAGAGAGGAGAGCAGAGGGCCAACTGCCGAAGCCCAGTCAGTGTGGGTGGATCAAGGGAGAAGAGAGAGACAAACAAGTGAGACAGGAAAAGAAACAGTGCCACAAGAATTTAAGGAAAGAGTTTCAAGACAGAATGAATAGTTAGCAATGCAAAACAGCAGAGAAGTATAATGAAAACAGACAAAGCACTGTTGAACTTTTTAAAAGAGAAAAAATACTTTTAAATAAGGCTTTTGTTTATTGGCTTTCTACAGTCTTTAGAGATCATAAGCTTTCAACAATATATTTAACCCAGTGTTACTTTCCAGGTTATTTACTTGTTTGTTCTCCTAGAATTGTCTCTATGCTCTAACCAAGCCAACCTGCTGACATGTACATATTCCATATTCTTTTGGGGTGCCAACATCCTAACCACTATGTACTGTGTTTCCACTTCTTCTCTTCTACTCTCCTTTTGGCTCCACAACCTCCCTGCTCAGCTAGTTAGTTGCAGACCGAGTTGTGATGCTGGCTGTAATTCCTGTTGTGCAGCAAAGTAAAAGTACTGTCAAGTTACTAATTGTAACCTTTAATAAACTAGAGCTGCTTTTTTCTCATTTCTAACTTCCATTATGCCTTAGCATAGTTCACGAATGTTCTTGAAAAGTACATGTTTTTGGTGTTATGGATGTATCTTGAAAATCCACTGTTTTATTCTAGACAGAAAATCCAAGAATGGAGAGACCATATACATTTAAGGATTTTGTTCTTCACCCAAGAAGGTCAGTACATATAAAATAATAGC